TCTCCAATTCTTGAACAAGTTCTCCATCCTTCGTAATAAGATTGGGTTGAATGTCATTTTTTGGATCCTTGAATGGCTCGACTAATCTTTGAAGATGTTGTAATTGATTAAGGCGTCGTTGCCGTTGCTGCCGTTGACTGTCGAGAGTCGCGAGCCGCTCACGGAGCTCCCGGTATCTGTGCGACTGGTGTCAGGCAGGTGGAACTTCAATGGGAGAAATTTCGGATACGGTGATAAACTGACCTTGTATGCTCCTCTTCGCTTGCTTCCTGGCTTTCCAAGGTGACAGGCATCTTTGAGATGTTGCTAACCCATATAGTCAGTGGGGTCATACCTTGTATAGAAATGGATGAAATCTTACATTTCCCTTGATAAATCTGTTGTTTTTTCGATACCTCGAGCAAAAGCATCTCGGCTTCGTGCCTCTTGACTAACCGATGACCAGTATAGGTTTGCGATCTGTTGGGCGACATGGTGTATCGCTTGGGAGGAATAAACAACACGATTGTGCTGCTTAGCAGCTGCATTTACTATAGGACTATGAGTATCATATTCACCACACATCTGAGTGCAAAGGAATAGATAATTGTCTTGTTGAATTGTGATTCATATTCTGACCTTTGTGTAGAACATCTTCGATCACCTTGTCACTCAGATCACCTTCGGTGGTTTCAGCAGCATAGTTTCGCCAGTCTTTGGGTAAATCGAGGCTCTCGGAGAAGATGCGGACTTGGCTCCAAATGAATGCAGATTTCAACTCAGATATAGTTTGAGTTGAATCCATTTCGAACACGACCCAAATGGTGCTAGAGAGGTACCATCGCTGAGCCTCCAAAAGTCCCGCGATCCGTGAGCGCGTCCTTATCGATAAGACATCACGTGTCTCTCTACAAATGCGATTTTACGAGATGGCCGAGACCGATTTGGGCAATAAACCACCATAAAATGAAGAAAAGGGTTAAAGAATATAGATTAAATGGTAGTTCAATTGTCAATGTATGGTTCGATCAGGGCAACAATGGAGTTTCTTAGGTTTGTTGGATTTCTTGGTGTGGAGTATATCCTCGGTCTGGAGTGTACGTACCTCGGCAATCTGACCGTCTTTTAGGTCCAGATCGCCCTGAGAGTAATTCAATTCGTTGCGAATCCAAGGTCATTACAACGCATTCAGCTCACGAGTCAGAACTAAACTGCGGCATATCTTGCAGCTACCTCCAGTAGCTTCATTATCATCTCAAGATGGCAGAGATCAAGCGGCCGGTGGGCTTACTGTTTGACATTGGAGGCGTGTGTGTACGTCAGCCACTTGACCTGAAAGTTGATGATATATATATCTGACAGATTTTTAGGTTGTATCCCCATTCCAAGCTATTCTTGACTATGAAATTTCCCAAAACATACCACCAGGATGGGTCAATTTCAGTATATCGCGAACGGCGCCGAATGGTAGCTGGCACAAGCTCGAACGAGGCGACATTAAGATGGACGCCGATTTCTTTGCGGGGTTCAATGCAGACCTAAGAAGCCCCGAACTATGGACACAATTCCACCAACAACTTCAAAAGAAGCAAGGCACAGATGGTTCCACCATCCCTCCACTGCCGAAGGTGGATGCAGAATGGTTATTCTGGGAGATGATGCGGATATCTCGCACACCAGACCGATATATGTACCCAGCTCTGAAGAAATTGAAAGAGTCGGGGCAGTTCCTGATGGGCGCTTTATCCAACACCGTTATATTCCCTGACGGACACGAATACAATAATGCATCTGATGTCAAGAAGCAATTCGATTTCTTTATCTCGTCTGCGCACACAGGGCTCCGCAAACCTGACCCGAAAATCTACCAGGTGGCGTTACAGGAGATGGACACTTTAGCTAAGAGGCGAGGACTGGCCGGATCTAATCCCGACGATATTGTGTTCTTCGATGATATTGGCGAGAATTTGAAGGGAGCGAAAAACGCCGGCATGCGTACGGTCAAAGTCACACTTGGAAAGACCCAAGATGCGGTCAGGGAACTGGAGAAGATCACAGGCCTTCAGTTGCTGGACGAGGACAAGGCCCGATTGTGAGGCGTTATACATAGAACATTGGTCATTTCGGGAAGAAGATCAGGATTATATGTAGAAATGATGGAGAATAAGAATTCCATAACATTTTCTTAATTCTCCCAATTTTTCTGAATTTATTGTCGATTTTCTTGTTTGTTCCATAATTAAGAAAGTTGATGTTCCACTCGTCGCCGACCTCATTTTCTGGCGGGGGATGCAGCCACGCGCTAAGCGAAATCCCGCACAAAGTCGACCCACGAAATTTCTCACTTCCTCTTCTTCGTCCATCTCCAGCGCCCCTCGACACCCCGTCAAAATGGTGAGTTCGACTGATGACTGAAAGGTCATTATGCATTCCTTTTGCATTTTATTTCCTCTCCGATTCCTATCGGAGCCGGGTCCCTGCAAGTTGCTTCGGCGTAATTTCTGAAGCGTTAATTGCTGACTCGCGATCTCGCTTTACAGCCTTTCACCAAGACCGTCAAGAACAACGCCTACTTCAGGTGAGTTAAATCCTTTATTAATAACCTTGTCCTTGAGGTCGCGATTTACTGACTTTGCCAATTATAGTCGCTTCCAGACTAAGTACCGTCGCCGCCGCGAGGGTAAGACCGACTACTATGCTCGCAAGCGCCTGATCACCCAGGCCAAGAACAAGTACAATGCGCCCAAGTACCGCATGGTCGTTCGCTTCACCAACCGCGACATCGTTACCCAGATCGTCTACTCCGAGGTCACCGGTGACAAGGTTCTCGCCGCTGCCTACGCTCACGAGCTCCCCAAGTACGGCATTGACCAGGGTCTTACCAACTGGGCTGCTGCCTACGCCACCGGTCTTCTCCTTGCCCGCCGTGTCCTCAAGAAGCTCAACATGGACGAGCAGTTCAAGGGTGTCGAGGAGGCTACCGGTGAGCACACTCTCACCGAGGCCATCGAGACCGATGATGGCGAGCGCCGCCCCTTCAAGGCCTTCCTCGATGTTGGTCTTGTCCGCACCTCCACCGGTAACCGTGTCTTCGCTGCCATGAAGGGTGCCTCCGACGGTGGTATCTTCATCCCCCACTCCGACCGCCGTTTCCCCGGTTACGACATCGAGTCCGAGGAGCTCGACGCCGAGACCCTCAAGAACTACATCCACGGTTCCCACGTCTCCGAGTACATGGAGACCCTCGCCGATGAGGATGAGGAGCGCTACAAGTCCCAGTTCATCAAGTACATCGAGAACGAGATTGACGCTGGTGACCTCGAGGAGATCTACGCTGATGCCCACAAGGCCATCCGCGAGGATCCCTTCAAGGCCGATGAGGATGCTGGTCCCAAGAAGACCAAGGAGGAGTGGAAGGCCGAGTCCAAGAAGTACAAGGTCAACCGCCTCACCCGCGACGAGCGCAAGGCTCGCGTCGAGGAGAAGATCCGCAAGCTTGCCGCATAAGCGTCTCGCTTCCTATCTTTCTGACCAAAAGTTCCTACCAATATTTCCAATTGAGGGAACAGGCTACTGCCGGCGTTTTATTCATGTGATGTAGTTTTTGACGGATCATGGCACATACCACTTTTTATTTTTACTATCGGAAGGGGTCTTTTTTCCTGGGAGCAATTAGTTCGGTGTTCATTTAAGGCAATTTTCTTTACTCTGTTCTAACTGCTCCCCCAATGTCCATCTGTCTTGTTCCCTCATTTGCCTCCTTGCATCTGTCCGTAGCTGGGATCTATACATTGTAATGCGTAGTTTATTCTTTAATCTTTTATGATTGTATGATTGTATGATTATTCGCAAGTGCATCATGCCATTGGACTTGAGAAAATAAAAATTACCGAGTAACCTATTAAAATTAGATCGACGCCATGCACAAGCGCCAATGTGATAAGTGGCCCCCAACCCCACGAGTGCATTGCCAGCGCAGCAAGTTGGTGGCTGTTCAGTAAGGATGCAAAAAAAATAAAAAATAAAAAGGCTAGATAGTTCCATTGTTTGCAATCAATCCCCGCTTTAAAAAGCTGTTTGGTCCCCGAAAAGGTGAAAAAGCAATTATTTCATCCCTTGTATATATATATATCTCTCCCACCTACATAGTTTATATCCACACATCACACACCCATCATGAGAAGATACCAACAACATACACACGCAAGCTGGCACCGCGCCTACGCAGACAAATTCGATTGCCCTTGGTGCCAAACCCCTCACCGGGCAGAGACACCTCAGAACCAGAACCACAACACCCGCAAGCAGCCCACAAAGGGCTCAGACAATGGCAGAACAAGCAGAGCCAATGCCACATCGACACCAATTGGACGTCGGATAGCTCACGAGAGCTCTCACGAGAGCTCTGACGTTGCTGTCGAAGACCAATCCGCCGATACCCCGCTCGAACCCCAGACGCCAGAATCGGCTCTGGGCGCGAACAACGAAGAGACCCCAGAGCCGGAATCCGATTCAAATTACGCGCGGTACAATATGGGACGAACTGCGAGACATGATGGCTTGAATACCACATTCGCGCCAGATACACTGCGACCGCCGCTTCCCGAGCAGTGGACGAAGGAGGTTGAGGATCAAGAACACGGGTAGGGATCTCTAGTTGATGGCCTTGGGTCACCGCTGGTTCGTGCTTGTGCTGACGGTGTTTTTTCGATAGTGCTGCGGAATGGAGTCCACCAGCTGTGGAAGATTGGCGCTCTGGGCTAGATACGCCTGCGGAGTTTCGAATGCCCGGTGACGAAAACATTGGCTCTCCGGAATTATATGTGAAGCAGTTAGAGGAGTCTTGAGAAAGACTTGGTTGAAATACATCGAGTCAAAATATTCATGTTAAAACTACAGATATCAGGATTTTGCTCTGCACAACTTTCTACAATGAACATAATATTCCATCGATCCGTTCTGGTCCAAATCACCTCCTCTTGACCTATCGTTATTAAAACGTTTTTGATGCATGATTTGAGTTACTCGTCTGGCTCAACATCTTCCAACCTGCCTCCGCTGAGAAGTGTAGCCCTGCATCTTGCAAAGTAGTGGCTCTTGGCAAACGCTTCATCACATTGCTCGCGAAAGCTCCTGGTTTCGCTACAATCCCTCGGTAGTTGAGCCAGTAGAGATTTGTCCCTCTCTCTTTCCGCTTTTGCCTCGGCTTCCATAAGAATTAGCAATGCCATCTGAGCATCCGGTGTCAATCGACCCGGCACATCCTCCTCAGTCTGGGCCACCAGTGAAGTCTCGGCCTCCTCAAAGTTGGCGAGAAGCAGTGATGCACTTTGCTCCAATGATTTGAGGGCTTCTTGGCATTCTTAGCTCGATCCCTGGCCTGGGAGAGCTTTAGCCATGTCATGTCCATTGATTAGCGCCGTCTGTGCCATTCTTAACAGCCGGAGTTCCTGGGTAGTATCCGGTCGAGATTGGATTTGTGCCCGCGCCCTTTCCAGTTTGCGGAATCCCTCAGCGATATCAAGTGGCTTAAGCTGAGGTCGAGATTGAGGCCCTCTCTCATTAGCTGGAGCTGGAAGTGCACACCAAGCCTTGTCACAAGCCTAGCGCATCTCTCTAGCCATCATCTGGAATACCTTGCGGAAGTCATCGGGTTCGTCTCAGAGGGTGCCGATCTTCCCTTTTGTTACCACGAATCAACCCAAGATAGTGACCAATCTTCTGTGGGTTTGTAGACATTTTTGCATTCACATGATTCTCGTCAAGCTCCACTTGCTCAATGCGTGGATCGGGGTATTCCATCTTAAGCTTCTCCATCGCTTCTTCTGCCTCGGGGGCGTCCCATTGTATCTGTGCTCAACTGTATTCCAATGCCAGGAGAAGGAAAGGGCCATTCTCGCCCACAATGCGCGACAGCAGACACTTGGCCGTTCACCAATCCTCCTTCAACTCGCTTCCTTGGCTTTTCTTTCGAAATATTCGTTGGTTTGGATTTGAGCTTTGCGGATCATGTCCAATTCCTCGAGGCGTGTTTCAAGAACCGCTTTGTCTGAGATCTGAAGCAATCGAGACTTGGCCTCGTCAGTCAGACCGCATTGCAGGGCGGATGTATGTAGACAGTTCAGATATCTCCATTTCCACCTTCCTCACGTTCCTTTTCTCAGTTCGGCCAGTGTGACCATCACTAGAAGTCGACAGCGCAGCCCCAACTTTGCGAAAATCGTTGATTATCACTTCTGTTTCGCGCCTTATAGATCCGCGGAGTGCTTCGGATTCAGGGGTCCTCGCCTGCCGAAGGAGAGACGTGGCTTTAGCCAGACCATAACGGACCTCTGCCTGTGCACTCTCTAATATGTGAAGTTCTTCAGCCATATCTGCCTTCCGAGTCAGAATTCGAAGTGGCGTTCGATATTGCGGGTTCCGAGGTGGAAGTTTTTACCAAAGCCTGTCATGGGCATCATGTCTATCTTCAGCCATCATCTCGAATACCTTGCGGAAATCATCTGGCTTATTCCAGATAACACCGGTTTTCACCATCCTTTGAAACACAAAAGAATCACGCAGCCCCTCGACCCTCACTGGTAGTCCATTCAGTTCTGCGTGCTCAAGAAACTGTAGAAAACTGACCAAGCTCCAGCTGTATGAGGCGTGGATCAGGGTATTTCCATTGTAGCTCAACAAGCCGTTCTACATGTTCGTCATTTCGATTTAACCGTGCCTCACTGTATTCCAATACCGCAAGGGGGAATTTGCCGAAATCGCCTTTGATACGAGGTAGGAGAGATCTTGCCTTCTCCCAGTCACCGTTCAACTCTGCTTTCTTGGCCTGCCTTTCCAAATTCTCGTCGATCTCATTTTGTGCTGACCGTCCTGCATTCAACCTTTTGAGAAGGTATCTGTATGTCGTATTTTCTGGAATCCGAAGTAGGAGATCCATGGCTTGACTCCAGTCACCGCACAACTCTGCTTCTCTGATTTGTGCTTCGAGGTGAGTCAAGTTATCAAGTCGAGAGGGTAGCGAGCCCACAGCCTCAAAATGGTCATCGCATTTCTCTGAACTAGGACCGTTGGATGGGTGCAGGAGAATTCTTTGAGATTGATCACTATGCGTATCGAGGAATGAACCATATAGCTTATCTATATATATTGATTTCCTTAGCGTTTTATTTAAGAGGTAAAAAAAGGGAGAGGAGGAGTCCCAGAGGTACATGACCCAAATGACCATCCGACCACGAACTTTGGTTCCAAGGGGAATCGAACCCAGGCCTGTGTCTCATTAAGATAGCAACCTTGCAGGCTTGTCAAATGTTGCTTGCTCCTAACTACTGCACTACCCCGGGTTATTGCCTGGCATAACCTTAGCTTTATATAAATCCCCACCGGCCCCACTATATTAGGTACCCAGGTGACTTGCGTAAATATCCCAAATTCTAGATATCTATATCTCTACTTAACATTCCCTCTTTCCAGTATGATATTCTAACATAGTAGGGAAAAAAAGAAAATAAAGGCAAAGGCAAAAAGAAGGGGGATTCCCAGCGGTACATCGCCAAGATGACCATCAGACTGCGAACTTTGGTTCCAAGGGGAATCGAACTCAGGCTTGTGGCTGGTTAAGTTGACAACCTTGCAAGTTTGACATTGCTCTTGACTACTGCACTACCCCGGGTTACTGCCTGGCATAACCTTAACTTTATATATCAATCCCCCATCAGGTGGACACTCCGGACCCACTTCGCAGTACCACCTCAACGTATAGGTCTACGATTCACATATATCCATTGATGCATAGTATGCCCAAGGACCACAATTTTCGGCCTGGAGGACTCAAATTCTCAATTATATAGGGATTGGTAACTCTCCAGCACTACACTGCTTCCCAATATTTACAAGAAAGAACTCTTCGATGGCACCCTTGGCCGACTGCTCAATAATCACATCTTATCCCGGGTTTATACTACTAGTAAGTTCAGTTTTATTGGCTGGAAATGTATCAGGATTAGTCTAGTCTTGGGAATCGGGAAGTTAACGAGTTCTGGTTGCGTTTGACTAAGTCGATATAGAGTAAGAGTATGATCCCGTGTTTCTGGTATATAAAAATGTACTGCTTACTAGGTAGAGATTTAAATCTAGGACGACGTAGTTCAACTGCTAGTAGAAATGATATATTTAGTGACTGGAAGTTTTAGGGTCGATTGTGGCAATCCTACTCGATTCAGTTGAAATTACCAGGGAACCTGCTCTTAGCAGGGTTATTGTAAAGTGCTTCTATGTACATTGTTTGATATAATGTCTCCTCACTCTTAGTATGAGAAGGCTTTTTAATGGTTCTGGCAACCATAGATATCTGGCTTGGGACAGGGAGGGAATTTACATGGTTCCCGTACGATAAGTAGATGCTGTATCAAATGATATGGTGTACCAATCGCCAATTTCAGTTAATCCAGCCAAGAAAATAGCACGCTGTAGAATGCTTTGGGGTCCTGGAGGAAGGGCGCATGGCCTAGACCGGGGAACATGTGGAACGTGGAGTTGGGGATCATGGCTGCGGCAGCAGGACCGAGTTCAGAATAATGGCCCAGCTTCGCAGCAACGTCAGGAGATGACCATGCTTTACCAAGCGCCGTAATGTCGTTCTCTCCTACCATGAGGTAGGTGCGTGTCTGCAGGAGAGGCAGCTGGTAGATGATAGGCTGGCTGAGCAAGGCGTCGGTGACGAGGGACATCACGTACGAATACTGGGAGCCATAGTCGCCGGCATAGATATCGGCTAGCATGTGGACCCAGGTATCATACTCAGGCTTCCAGGAGGCACCGTGGAAGTAGCTGGCCTCCTCATACTCCTTGAGAGTGGTAAAGTTCTGCACAACCTGGCTTTCGTATGTCGCGTCGATGGATAAGTAGGGCACACCCTTGGCTACCCAGTCCTCTAGACCCAGGGGATCGACAAGGACAAGCTGGTGAACGCTGGCTGGGTACATGAGACCGTAGCGGGCGGCAATCATGCCACCCATCGAATGGCCAATCACGGTGACTTGATCAATGCCTAGCGCAGTGAGCAGACTGTGGATGTTCAACGCCTGCTGTTGTACATTGTAAGAATAGCCCTGGGGCTTGCTTGATTTGCAGAAGCCGATGTCGTCGGGCAAAATCACTCGGTATCCGGAGGCCGACAGGTGTCGCGCCGTGTCGGACCATGTGACGCCGCAGAAGTTCCCGCCGTGCAGCAAGATCGCTGTCTTTTTATTCTTGTTTTGTTTCTTTGGTGGTACGTCCATGAATGCCATTGTAAGGTTCTGGCGCTGATTGGAGAAGTTGAACAGTTTCACCGGCCAAGGGTAAGGGTAGCTGGATCCGTATAGGTCGGATGGTACATGGCCATCATAGATGGTGCCAATCGGGTCAGGGTCGGACTGCGCGGAGGCAACGGCCGCGAAAGATAGCACCGCTGACAAGGTACTGAAGACGGAGAAGATCTTCATGGTGCAGGTGTGGTTGCTTGCAAAAGAACCAAGTTCTCTTAGTGACTGTAGTGACTGTAGGGACTCTCGTTTAAATCGGTGGCTCTATCAATCGTACAAGAGAAAAGAGAGTTACTTGTCTCCTGATACAAACATATATATAGCAGCTTGAGAATTATTTTAGTGTAAAATCAAGGCAGACACCAGTGTCGCACCAGAGCCAGGGGCACAAATGCGTTGCTACCTTGAGCTATATGTGGTTAGTTATCTAGGGGCTGATTACTCCGTACTCCGCACAAGGTACAGCCTTTCCTGTTTAAGTTTTGACCGGAAGCATACGGGGGGTTTAATTTTTTCATTCGCAGGTGTTTTTAATCAACTGCAATTTCGCTAACACGTACTTGGTGTAGTCAGGCACCAGGGGGGCGGGGAGCTCCAGGGCTCGGCACTGTGCTGAGTAATCCCCAGTTCACATCCATCCATGGGCTCTTTTAAGGAATTCCGGCCTCTCAAGCAATCCAACAGGTAATCCCCTTGATACTATTTCGTCTAACGTAGAAGTATTTGGGTTTCCGCGGCTTGGATGTACATGTTACTTGATTGGTATCAACCGACTGTTCAATTGTGAGTTGGCCCCCAACAATTCTCAAACTAGCGCCTTTAACGCCATGCAGCGTGAATTTAATAACGTACACATCTTGCGACCCCCTAGCCTTCTATGTCTTTTTTAATTTTTTTTTTTAAACAATGGCCTCGGATCAAACGGGTGAATGCCCGGATTAGGGCGCGCTACGGAGTAGAGAGCAAAGACTTACGCGACTAAGAAAGACCCTTGTCAGTGTCGATGTAACTCTACTGCATAACACGCTAACACGCTAACACGCTATCCCGCCGGTAATGCGGTAATCCAATTATACATGGAAGAGTACGGAGTATTAAGAAATTATGAAAGCTACATTGCTACTAATACAGCCTTAATATGAGTACATATGTATCGGCCTTCGCCTTAATCAGTTCTATAATATCGTATGTACTATCTACGCCCAGGCGACCTCTAGCAGTTTGCTATGTCTAAAAACACCCCAGGGCCAAGCAGGGCTTTTGAGATCCAGGTGCCATGTATTGTCTTCCTCGTCACCACACCGGCCTTTGTGGCGATCCGACTGTGGTCCCGAGCCAGGTCTAAGTCGGGTCTGGGCTTGGACGACTGGACCATTTTGGTGTCTTCCGTGAGCTCTTAATGCGTGAGATTGAGCTGTCTCATGCAGACCTAACATTTCTATTAACAGGTGTTTGCGGTTACCGTCATGGCTTTCATGCTCGCGGCCTGCACCTATGGCTTTGGTCAACACATTGCGAATATCACAAAACCGAACAGGTTAATGACCATGAAGGTATGTCGGGAGTTGTCTTCGCTGCAGTACTTTACGTCTATGTCGTGGTTACGGAGTGCTAGACTTTTAAGTCTGTATGGGCTGCTAACGTTAGACATGCCAGCTCTTCTTTGTTAGTCAAGCATTCTACAAGCTCACCATGAACATGACAAAGATGTCCATTCTGATGCTATATCTACGCATTTTCATCCAGCGTTGGTTTCGCATCACATGCTATGTTCTCCTGGTTATTATTACCTCCTATATGGTGGCCGCCTTCTTCGCTTCTGTATTCCAATGCACACCAGTCGCCCGAGCCTGGAACAAGGCTATTCCAGGATCATGCATTAACATAACCACCAACTGGTATGCCAACGCCGGCTTTTCAATAGCCACCGACATCATCATATTGACGCTGCCGATGTATCCACTCTACAAGTCGAAGATAATATTGAAGCGGAAAATCGCCCTGATGATTGTGTTTGCCCTTGGCGCTTTGTGAGTCCTAAATACCTCGGTGCCGCAGCCGCAGATGTCAACTCAAGACTGACCGGAAATTTCCAAGTGTTGTCGTTACAAGTATTGTCCGGATGCAGACCCTAGACTTCTCGTCCACCAGTCCTGACCCTACCTGTAAGTGTCCTCATATCCTCTCTGAGTTACTCTTGCCCAGGCACTTATGAGATACCTCTACAGACGATATCGCCTCCTCGGTATGGACGATGCTCGAAGAAAACGTGGCGATCACCTGTGCCTGCCTGCCAATGATGTGGATGCCACTTGCTAGGCTCTTTCCCTCCTTCTTTTCCTTAGATAGTGGGACCGACAGCTATGGAAGCTCGGGTCCCAGGAGCTCGGAACTCAAAGCCACATCACGACCTCAAAGCAATTGGTCCCGTCTTAATGCGTACCCTGATACTAAGGACAGCATTGCCATGAACCAAACTGGCGATTCCCAAAACCGACCCTCGGAGGATAGCACGGGCCAGATACTCCCGTCTGGCCAGGGTGGCGAAACCCAGTCTCAAAGCGCAACGGGCATCACGATGGTCACAGAATATCGTGTCTCTTTTTCTAACCCGAGATCGCCTTCCAGGCGAATATATGTATAGGTACGAGTAGACGGAATAACCTGCTGGGTCCTAGGGACACGAAGACTGATATTTTTATCTCACTCTAATATAATCACCACATCTGTTTAATGAATTAGCCTATTCAAACCAACTGAGTGGAAGATATAATAGAGGTGTGGGTTGAAAGGTTGTCGTTTCTAGCATCGTTAGCCGTCAATCTAGCGGGGTGATAATATGTATATAAAGTTCTATTAGAATCTGATTTGACCATGGCAAACTATCAAGGCTAGTAGTACTACATCAAAGTAGGCAGAGATAATCATAGCATAAAAGATCCCCCGTTAGATCCAATCAAATCACCATTAACCCACCGAGAACCTTCTCCCGACAGCCAGGTGACCACATCGGCAACGTCTCGAGGCGTGCCGAGTCTTCGCTCTGCAGTAGCAAGCCCTTTAGCAGCGGTCCTCGCCTCACTATCGGGGGCGTCAGGTGTCGCTGTGGGTCCTACCAAAACGGCGTTACAAGTGAGATGATACTTAACGCCAAGTTCTCGAGCCCAAGTACGAGTCAAAGACTCCAAAGCAGCCTTGCTTGCTGCATAAACGCCATATCCTGGAAAATTCAACCTAGAACCAAGTGATGATCTGAAAAGAATGTTAATGGCCGAGATCGCAGGAAGATAATGGGTCGAAGCTACTTACATGTTGATGATTCTGTTCCCCTGCGATCCCAGGTGCGGAAGCAACGCCTGGACCAAAAGGATAGGAGCCCGTACGTTGATATGCATAATCCTAGTCTCGTTAGCAATATTCGGATTCCCCCCAAAGTCGTGGACAGAATGACTTACCTTTCAAATTCATCCTGGTCTAACGATTCTTCAACACTGGCGGGCGTTTGAGCAATAGCCGCATTATTAATCAAGAGTTCGATGGTCTCAACCCCAAGGCCTTGAAGAGCCTGCTTGACAATTGATTCCCCACAGGTTCCCGATGATAGATCAGCTTGAATTGCGCAGCATTTCCGACCTTGGGCTGTGAACTCGTCAACCATTTGGAGTGCTGTTGGTCTAGAATTACTTGAGACGTAAACTAAAGCAACATTCGCCCCGAGAATGGCAAGCTGTCGGGCAATTTCCTGCCCTATTCCACGGGTAGCCCCAGTAACGATGGCAGACTTCGCTACCAGTGGTAGATTCGGTGGACTCTGTGTAAAATCAGACATGTTTCTGTAGAAATGAAGAATTATGCCTATATAGAAAATGTAAACCAAAGTAGTCGATATAAATCTTGAACGAGATAAACCACGTTTTTAAATTCTTATTATCATTTCCTAAGGGCTTGAACGGATCGGAAATTGTGGCACCGACCATCCGGAAAGGTGGCTCTTTGACCATCTCGGAACCTGATGACACCGCTTTCCGTAGTATGAGATTGATAATCGACAGAATTATGTACGATAATGTATGGACCTAATGTACCTAGGTAGCCCTGGGGGGTACAGAGGATGACTAATAGCGTTAGGCGGCCAGCTAGTGTTATAAGGCGGCCAGCTGGTGTTATAAGGCGGCCAGCTGGTGTTATAAGGGGGCTATAACTTGTGGATTTTTTTTATCGGGAGTTTCCTATTTGAGGCAGAGGAAGGAAGGCCAGTAAATTCGAGTAAATTCGAGGAAATTTGACCTAAAATGTAGACAGGGACTAAACATGTCGCCCTCAAACATTCCCTGAATCCTGAGGCACCAGATATTTCCCTAAAAGGCTAGCGTTTTGAGAGCGCGTGTCATGGCCAACTTGTTTCCAACACAACTCTCATTCAGAATACTCTTTATTGATGGCCTTAAGACCACAGTGTTTGTTTCTGTGACCTTAATTATATAAGTCCTTCTTCCCTTAAATTCCTCAGTTTCTTCAATCTCCCAGAATACAAACCTCTCCCTGCTTGCTTCAACTTTACCAGCATCCTATCTCGCAATGCAGCTATATCTAATCCGCCATGCGGAAACAGTACATAATGTTGGAAAAGTCCTGTAGGAACCCATATTTCTGAATTGGAGTTCCCACTAGACTCTGACTTTGTGTGATAGGGCGGGTACCACCGATTCGGCACTAACCAACCATGGGATGACTCAGATCAATTGCCTTGCTCAGTATTTTGTCTCCAATTCAACTAGATTCACGACTGTGTTCTCTTCAGATCTGAGCCGAGCAAGAATCACAGCCGAGGGGGTCTGCCATGCACAAGTTCCACCCGCTGGCGAAACACCCTTGCAACCGATATTGACTCCGAATTTAAGAGAGAAAGATTACGGATCGATGGAAGGCTGCTTCTGGAAAAATCCTCCTCCATTACCCAGGCCACGGGACTGGGTTCTCCCTGAAACAAAAGCGTCGATGAGAAAGAGAGCTAAAGACTTTTTCGACGAACTCCTCCTTCCAATACTGATACATGACCCACACGGCCGACAAAACATTGCAGTCGTTGCCCACGGCATTATACTCCAAGAGCTATGGTCATACTTTATTGAGATCTCCAACCCAGCAGACACCAATGTAACCACGCTTCATACGAAGCCTGTTTGGTCAAACACCGGCTACATGACGATATTGATTACCCCAAACCCGACAGAAAGGACCATGCTGCCTAATGCTATGCCAAACTTCGCATTTACTGTCCTAAGTATTGATGACAAGAAACATCTTGCCAATCTCCATCGAACTAGGGGTGGCGTTGGAACCGCCGCGCATGATGTGAAGCAAAGAAAGATTGATCAATTTTTCCGATGATCGACTCTTTGACAGAGAATCTGTTGCTATGTACAAGTCCGGCAATCTTCGCAATGGCCGAAGGATTTAGTCTGTGTGAAACACTTCCTCCAAGGGCTTCCACCACCCTGGACCTTCCGCGCTGCCCACTGCTCCGGGAATAGGGCTCTCCTAATATCAGGTGCTTCAGATTAGCGCCTGTATCTCTCGATTTGTGTTAAATTCTCAACATACCTGCATCTCATCAGTCATAGCCCACCACTCTCTCATCTTCGGCAAAGACCGCATGTTCTCCATATCGGCTTCGATATCTGTGCCGACATACTTGAAGGTGGCGAATAAAGTCCGATCGTTATCGAAGTAGATTGAGTCTGGATCGGTGCAAATATACCATTTCAGCCAGTTTAAACATACAATATATTCAAATTTAACTTTGGCATTGAAACTTACAGTCTACGATGTTGCACTCCTTGATCTTTTGAAGAATCTCAGGCCAGACATTGGCGTGGCACTCTTTATATGCTGCGACAGCAGAGGGCTTGAGGTGCACGATCTGGGCGAAGCGGCGGGGTTGAGGTTGAGCCATGATGAGATGTTCAATATAGAAATCGAATTCAGCTTGGAATCAGAGCAGGATGTAAAAAAAAAAAAAACCGAGGATGCCAACTTGCCTTTTATGCTCCTCTCGCTCTAGCTTCAACCCGCACTCGGAGTGCGCTAACCCGGGGAGAGCTTGGCATCTATCCACATGCATGGAGGCTAGAGCTTGATCTGTATGGTCATGATACATGATTAAAACATGTGGAGCATGATACTACTAGTACATACTAGGTGTAGATAGTACATACTATATGGATGTAGTTATAGTACTACCTATGTAGGTAAGTTGTACTTTCGCTTTACCTAGCCCCTCCTACCCAGACGGCCCCCCACCTTCCTAATCAATTACTCTGTACTATTAAAACTGAACCCCCTGGCAGGTCTCTTTTCTAGCCCTTTGAAGTCTCCTGATTGCCGCGTTCTTAGCCTACCAGATATTAACAACAACTTATCCGAAGAAAAACAATGACATCAACAATCCCCGAACTACCTACTTTCGATCTTAGCCCGTCCACACTGCTCGATATCGCGACAGACTTGGTCAATCAAGTTCAACAAGCTGCAAATGAGCTAGCCAACAGCGTTTCGCCAAAAAAACGCGACATTTGAGAACGCTGTTCGCCCATTGGCAGATATTGACAACGAGGTCAAAGGAAAGGTTCAATACCTAGCCCTTTTCCAGGCATTTTCTCCTTCGCCAGAAATGCGTAAGGCGTCCTCAACGGCTGTGAATATGGTGGATAAGACATACTGGGGTGTCTTCCAAATACCGTTTGTTTTTTCCTTGGTCAATGCTGTGTATAAAAGGCATGCCGAGAAAGATAACAACGCCGAAGTGAATGCAAAGTCCGAAGATCAAAAGCTTCTCGAAAGATTTTACTCAATGTTCGTGGAAAATGGGCCTGAATTACAAGGGGATAAGCGAGACCGATTCCTTTGGATATCAAATCTTCTAATTGAGCTACGAGTCGCATTCATGGAGAATCTTAGCTCCGACCCTGGCTATGTGTGGAAAGACCGGCATGAGCTAGAGGAGATAGCCACAGAAACCCTGCAAGCATTACCTATACATTCCCCGACTAGCCAAAAAGGTATCAAGCTTAAGAAGCCGAATATCACCATGGTATTGACCCGGTGCCATATTGCTTGAGACACTGAAAAGAGGTATTTCTTCGGAGCCAAAATATCTTCCCAGATAACCTTGAGATGGATAAAGTCTGTAGACTACCCCACTGCCATAATTCGTCCCGGGTGCATAAATTGCATAAATTGCATAGATAATCAAGTCCCTAGGTGTGAATCGACGTTCGATATTGGTGGGGGGATGGTGTTGGCTATAGACCAATTTAGCTGAGGGGAAAATGCTCGGCTCGGCTGGATCCTGCCTAATACAGTTTAGTCAATTACCATATTAGGAGAGCGGGAAACAAATCTGTATCCACTCTATATTTCTTGGCATTTCCGACTGTCTCACCGTTTCACCAAATGCTCGTGGGGTCGGATATCTAGATTATCGCATTTTTATACCACATCACCTCACTACCCATGGCCGATGGAATCGAAACCCAAGGGGCAACCCCCCAAAGCGATTCATCTCCCCAGGAGACGGCCTTTGAATCCCAACCAGACTCAATGCCCTCTGTGATTAGGGGTTGGCATGCACGACCAGCCCCTTGGCAGGTGCAATTTACCTCCCCAGCAAGGCCAACGCCCAGTCAAACTGTCAGCCCAACTACCGGCCAGACTACCAGTCAGACTGTTCGCAATATTACTAGAGCTTCGCCCCTTACAACTGAAGATGATCTCAACCTACTACGGATTGCCGTTCACTATAAAGATCGGTTTAGTACAATGAAGGGTAATGCCGCTCTCTATGAGGATATTGCCAAAGTATGGAGGGCCGATACTGGGCGGAAAGTCAATCACCAAACGGTTCATAAGCACATCACTGATAGGCTAAAAGAGCATCGCGCTTTAATTTCTATACCGGAAGCTGACCGGCCTAAAATGAGCGCTACTGAAGATGCTATTTTTGACCATGCCAATGAGATATACGAAGTGCTGCAAGAGAAGTTAGTGGCAGAGGCACGACGAAAAGAGCTCGTTGATGAATCAGTGCCACGAGGAAGGGATAAAAGGCCTAGAGAACCGGAAAATTCTAGGGAGGGAGGTATGTTAAAATTAACATATTTATACTGTATTTCACTAATTATAGTATAGAAAGTGAGCGTCCAACAGCCCGTCCACGACCACTACCTCCCTCACCAGCACCTGCCTCACCATCATTACACACAGAAATGGCCTTATTCCTTAGTATGATGAATAGTCGAGCAGCCATCGAGGCTTCGACTGGGGCTAAAAAAGAAGATATCACTAGGCTAGAAGCTCGAATTGATAGCCTGGCTGCTACCATGGATGACATGATGGCTTTGCTCAGAACCCTCACACAGAGGCCGTCAGGGCAGTGAATAATACTATGGATAAATTAAATCCAACTAGGCTGTGCTTAATGAGCAGAGTTCAGAGCACAAGCGTAGGGATGGCATTGAGCATTGATTACCCAGCGCATTGGAGAATACAGTATCCTCAATGGACTACACATAGAGACTTGAATGTATCGCAAAATAGCAGTAGATCAAATTGGTATCCGTAATTATAAAAAGCACAAAAATTCTCTCTCATGATAGCACCTCACTCTTAGGAACAGGGCGAATCCAGGAAACAGCCATATTAGCCGCCAAAGATATAACACCGATGATCCACAGCGATCGTGCATAGTCTGATCCGTTGTATCGGAAGATAATAGCAAAGATGATTCCTCCAAGGTTACCGAAACCACCGACAATTCCAGAAACAATACCATTAGCAAAAGGATGCACATGAGGAACAAGAGCAAAGTTGGCTCCATTGGAGGCCTCAAGGAAGAAAGCTAGTCCAGCCATAAGACCAAACATAGCTGCCTCCGTGGACGGGTTAGATAATCCGATCGCAAGCTGGAAAGCTCCCATCGAGACTCCCAAAAAGGTAATCAGAAGCTTCTTGGACCAGACCTTGTCTGTGTACCGGTAAACCAAGTCACCGAATAGACCACCCGCCGGTCGGAAGACGACATTCAGCAGGCCGAACATGGCAGCCCACTGTCCTGATTTTGTTTGGTCCATGTGTGGGAAGTTCTCTGTGTAGTAAGATCCGAGGATGGAGTTGACTGCAAGCTCTGAGCCGAATGAGCAAGCGTAGGGGATTGCCACAGCCATGGTGGATAGACTCAGAGCCACACTCAGGGCTTCTTGACGAGTTGGGGAGACGACTGTCTCTTGTTTGAAGAGGTCCATCTGGCCCATTGTGGATGTATCGGCGTCTGAGACCTGTGGTGTCTGGGCGCCTTTCTTTTCGATGTCGATTGTTGCGGCGTTGTAGGGGGTCGTCATTCCGCTAGTCAAAATGCCGGAGTTGATGTCGACAATGTTGCCGTCGGCGGCCATAGTGGTACCATTGGACTCTTTCACCCAGAGGTGTCTCTCAGACCACTTTCCTGTTGGTGTATCCTCGCAGAGGAACAACATGCATAGCGCGACGAAGGTGATGATGATGAATGGGACAACGTAGGCGACACGCCACGCTTTGTGAGAAGGGAGACCGCTGGAGTGAACGAGAGAGTCGTAGATGGCGGGCATCAAAAAGCTGAATTGATTTGTTAGTATATTCATAGGACGGAAAGAAGAAAAGGGGGAATCCTACTATGTGATACCTCCACCTGCATTGCCCCAGCCTCCGGCGAGGGAATTGGCAGTACCGACAATACTCTTGTCGAAGAAACCAGTGCACCAGACCTGGCATGGGACGAAGGTTCCTCCCAGAATTCCAACGAAAAATCGGAGGGCAATCAGGCCCTTGGGACCGGTGACCAGACCGGCCATGGCTGTAGGAATGGCTCCGCAAATGAGTAGTCCCACGAAGACCAAACGTGGGCCAAAGCGATCACATAGCGGCCCTGCAACGAATCGGACGAGTAGACTGTAGAGGTTAGAGGGGTAACATGATTGATTCCATAGTCTGATACTTACGTTGCTAAAAGTGCGACGATGTTTGAGTTGGCGACATCTTCTTGTGTCATATTCAAGTCTTTTTTGATGGTCACACTCAACTATGAAGACGGATGATATTAGAGACTGTGTTCTTTTCTTCGTATTTCAAACATTTTGCAATTGTATCACGAACTTACCAGTGGTGGAAAGGCGTACCATGACAGGAATGCCACCATGAAGCCGAGCCATGAGAAGAAGAACACCCGTCCATATTGATCGAAGGGGTTCAATACGGGGATAGATTTGGCTTTGCGGGTACTTGGGTTGATTTCCGGTGATACAAAGAGACGTTTAACAAAGTTGGTTGCCATTTTGGTGGCCTCTTTTGTATAGTCGAGCGTTTGAGGTAGAGGTAGGCTCAGGAGCTGATATTCTAATGATTAAAAAAGCTCGGACAATTTGATATATCTTTGATGATTAAAAGTAACCAAGAGTTGTTTTGGAAATTTAGGAGAAAGATGTAGGTTGAAAAATGAATAGATCTTGGTCTCTATATAGACGTTTATTATGCTGTGTTTGCTGAAGTATAGATCTCAGATGTATCTTGTCATGACACATGGAACAACAATCAGTCTGATATTCCTGCTGCATGTCAAGTCGTCCAATTATCGTAGATAGCTACGTGCTGTCAGTCGGAAACGGTTAGTCAAGAGTTACTACTGAGTATATCTCAGGTCGCTGATTTGATACGCAAGGACAAGGTTACCGCAAGGATCATCAAATCCTTGGATAGTAAACTTACTTTTTGCCTCAGACTTCCTGAATCTTCCGCTGTATCCTGCAATGTACTTCTGATAGAGATAAGAGTATGTATTAGAGCGACCTATAACAGTTTAGGATGTATAATATGCCAAGTGCCATGATTGGAGGGAAAGTCTGATGGTATGAACCAATCTACTTCATATAACTCCGCGGAGCTTCAATTGATGAATTCAGACTTACATTATACAATTATACCAAATCTGGGGGTGGACCCTTTACTCTACGGTGGCCAGGAATTCATATCGTTGATAAACGCGAGCCTCCTCATTGGATGCCAAGCCAACCGAGATAGGGACCGAAGGATGAACTCAGCCCAGCGGGTCTTTGCATTAATGTTGATCTAACACCAGGAGCTCCGCGGAAATACTTAAACCTAGTGGCCCCAGTTGATTCTGGAGCCCTGAGGGTGAACCTTGATCAACCAAGATCTGGTGCTCCGTATCATCCACGCCAAAATTAGGGCTTCTGTCTTCAGCATAGTAACGCAAAGTCTTCCTAACAATCAGTCTAGATGGGTCTTTTTTTTATTTTGCATATTTTTAGTACAACATATGTGCGAAGTTCTATCTCCACGGGACACTGAGATAAGAGATTTCGACGTTGACTGTGCGAATAACCTTCCAGGCTTGGAATCCATGGATAGTCCGGATAGCAGTTCCAAGGTTCCAAGGAAGGTTTGTGCATCCGCTGAATAACCTACATAGTACCTATACTTAGTATATTAGTTATATCGGGGGGTAAACAGATATCCAACATCATCACTTAGCAAAAGTATTCACAGGGGCAGTGCGAAAAGATCCGTGGCTATTGTTAGTTAATATATCAAATGCCGTGGAAGTAAGAAAACAAGTTCCTTCACCAGAGACTGGATCTAAACCTTCTAATAACAACTAGAGAAATGAATAATAACTTTCAATCAAAATATGTATCTAACAAAAGACTTCGTGGTAGATTATCCAGTTGATGTAGATATGTAGAGGTCACCCTTTTTCATATATCGTAACATGAGATATTCCTTATAATAATCTACATCTGAAAAAACCTCTTCTGTGGTCTAAGACCACGATATATACTCGCGACTTTGGCAATATCTACATAGATCTGACCTTCCATCGTTTGGGCGAAGAAATAAGGAAATAAGTTCATGTAAAGCTCATGTATTCTCAAATGTTCTCATAAGGCCATTAATTATCTCAATCCCATACGCCAACCTGCTTCATCACAAAATTCTAAAGAAACCGACATGCAACATAACAACTACCAATCAATCGACTTGGCTGGCTGCACCGCTGGTGCACGAGTCAAGAACCCATCAGTAACCTTCTTCCCCTTCATACCCTTGAACTTCTTATCAACCTTATGGAAAGGATCCTCCGCCTCGCCCTTGCGAACTTTCCACTTCTCCGTCCCCAAAACTGAATCCAACTCCTCAATCGGCGGGAGTTTGATATAAACCCAGCCATCATCCCTCTCCTCAACAGGGAATGTAGCGATATTCATGCTCTCATCGTTTGAGCAGCGACCCGCCTGCTCCCCGTTGAGCTCGAAGTTGCGCTTGTGATACGGACACGACACCCAGTATTTTCCAGCATCGTCATCACCAACAAGGCCATCAGAAAGAACGAAAGCTCGCTTGTGCGGACACATCTGCTGCGTCGCATAGAACTTGCCCTTGATCTTAAAGACAGCAAGCTGTGTGTCACCGCGCTTGACATTCGCCGATGAGACCTGAGGTGGCTCGTCGGAGAAATGATCGGCTCGGACAACCGGCTGCCAGGAGACGCTTGACCACTTGTGGCCTTTGAAATCTTCTCGCTCGGTAGAGTCCTTGGGCCAGTATGTGGGTCGTTGCTGAGATCGCTCTTGGACAACTTCGACTGTGTCGACAGTTTCGTCTGTGTTTGCAAATTGCTGGAAGACCTTGCGGCGCTTGGGGTCTTTGACTGTCTCGGTCCACTCGCAGAAATAGCTGTCGACGAGCTCATGCATTTGCCTTTCCATGTCGGCACAAATTCCGAGCTTATCATCCACGATCACCTCTTTGAGGTATTTGATTCCGCCGGGGAGATTTTCGATCCATCGTGCTGTTCGTTGGAGTTTGTCGGCGGTGCGGATGTAGAAAATCAAGTAGCGGTCGATGATGGGCATCACCATATCCGCTGGTACGTCTGTAACAAGCAATTCGGCATGTCTGGGCTTTGCACCTCCGTTGCCTCCAACAAAGATGTTGAACCCAACTTCGGTAGCAATGAGTCCAAAGCTGGTAGATGTTAGTTATGGGGGTTTTTTTAACCATTTTGGAATATTTTTGTACTCACTCCTTGTTTTGGGCTTCGGCACATTCTCGCACACAGCCAGATACAGCTCCCTTGAACTTGTGTGGTGCACGAATACTCTTGTATCGCTCTTCCAGGCGAATTGCCATGCCGACACTGTCACCGACACCGAAGCGACACCATGTGGTTCCAACGCAACTCTGAACGTTCACTGTCAGTTGGTCTTCTCATGAAAGTTAATATGGCTAACGTACCTTGATTGCTCGAAGAGCCTTTGCATAGGCGTGTCCACTCTCCATACCCGCATCCACAAGTTCCGTCCAGATATTCAGAAGATCCTGCTTC